TACACTCTCAGTTATATACTACACCACACCCACACATTCTCAGTTATATACTACACCACACCCATACACTCTCAGTTATATACTACACCACACCCATACACTCTCACTTATATCTGCCGGCTACACACTTGTTCGCTCTTATGTGATCTGATGCTCTTTTTGACAGGCCCAGTCACAGACGGTACACTGGGCTGTGTCGTGCCGCGTGGTGACCCCAAATTGGGGCTGTTCCGCAGTCGGTTGTAGTGCTCATCTGCACCCTGTGACAGCTGCATGTGTCCGAAAGTTTTTTGTTGGGGCAGGCCATCTTCGTCCATTTGTACACCTAAAATACAAGGGGCAGGTGCAAGACGCTCGAGTATGTGAGGTATACAGTATGACCCACTATAATAGAGCTTTATTGCTGCCGTGATCGTAAGCACCCTATCACAACTGCATGTGTCCAGTTGTGCGCCCAGCGTGCATGGTACATTGCAAGACATTTGGGACGTAAAACATTCTGGGTAGTATGTATGGCATATGCTTGTAGTGTGTATTTAACATATGATTAAAGTTTGTGTATGACATATAGGTGTAGTGTGTGTATAACATATGATTGTAGTGTGTCTATAACATATGATTGTAGTGTGAAAATAAGACATATAGGTGTAGTGTGTATATAACATATGATTGTAGTGTGTATGACATATGATTGTAGAGTGTATATAACATATGTTTGTAGTGTGTATGACATGATTGTAGTGTGTCTATAGCATATGCTTGTAGTGTGTATGACATATGATTTTAGTGTGTGTATAACATATGATTGTAGTGTGAAAATAAGACATATAGGTGTAGTGTGTATATAACATATGATTGCAGTGTGTATATAACATATGATCATAGTGTGTGTATGACATATGATTGTAGTGTCTATATAACATATGGTTGTAGTGTGTATATATCATATGATTGTAATGTTATGCTTGTGTGTGTATATAACATGCTTGATATAACATGATTGTAGTGTGTGTATGGCATACAGGTGTAGTGTGTGTATAACATGTATTTGTAGTGTGTGTACAGTGTTCATATGCAGATGGCACTAGTCACATGTGTCCAATTGATTGCTGCTGCGGCAGACCGTCTTCATTAACTTGTACCGCTAGGGTTCATAGTGTATTGCGAAACACTTGATTCTGTGGGATATGGTGTATAACTCGGTACGATCCAGTGCATTGCCGACAGTTGTAAGGTTAATCTGCACATTTCGACACCCGCGTGTGTCCCAATATTTCCTGTTGGGGGCAGGCCGTCCCGTTCCCTTTGTTCAAACGGGGTGCAGGTCAACACATACTAAGATAGACGCAAGTCACCGGAACACCCACCCCATCCCCATACCTGTATCAGCGTCTGTATCTATCACCAGCACTTTGGCTGGTTTCTTCATATCTGCATTGTCCACTTCTTTCACCCCCGGAACCTTGACTGACCCATCACCCGTGGAGAGTTGAGATCCGTATCTGATCTGACTCGCCTTCCCGAAACGCGGCTGGGGTTCGCTTTCAACTTTCTGGATACGACAAGCAACAAATAAATCATGTGTATGCGTATGAGTATGGTAAATGTATGTGTATGCGTAAGAGTTAGGTAAATGTCGAGGAAACTGTGACCAAAAAAAAAACACAAACGATCTGCAGTCCGCCTCTATATGCCACCACAGACATCTCTTGGTATATACAACCATGATACTGTACGCATACTTGATGCCACGGTCTCTCATACATATAATGAAAGTTAAGTATGGTATCAAAGTGCCCATATGAATCCGTAGTAGAACATTGACGAGCCCGTAGATCACTATAATAAATATTGACGTGTAACGGTAGTTTCTTCACAAATATGTCTAGAGCACTTGCGTAAATATTGTATACGTATGCATATATGTATACATTTTTATAAATACATATTTATATATATATATATATGTGTGTGTGTGTGTGTGTGTGTAGTGTGT